AGGAACCGCATTTTTCACTGTGATGATGCATCAAAATAGACTTATCCTAAAATAGCAAACACCCTCCCCGGGACCATGGCAGTGCCCTCTAGCGAGGCTGCACTGGAACTACTTTGCTCTTAGCTGTTTTCACCTCCATAAACCCCAGCGTACCATTTGCTAAGGCTTCTCTGGCCACTAAACCGTTTCTTGAGACATATACGATAGAACTGTGGCAGTGGGAGGCAGAAAGCAAAGACCTTACAATAAATGTTCTTCCTGCTCTAATTCCAGAAACACCACTACCGAGAGCTTCCCACCGAGGTGCAGGAGACGCTGGGCACCATCCCAGATGACTTTGTACGCTATTTTACATCCCGTTTCCCTCGCTTGCTCTTACACACTTACCATGCTATGCAGATCTGCAGCCAGGAAAGACTGTTTCAGCCTTACTATGTTCAGGACGCCGCAGGTCAGGGACTGGTGGGAGATGCTGTTTGAGAGGGTGGGGACAGAGCTCCCTTCTCCGTGACCAACATTCCAAACAGGCTGTAAAATGGGCCCGTCTCTAAGCAGAGACTCATGGGATCAAAGAGCAAAACGTCTCCCTGAGGAACCCATACGCCCAGAAAGTGCCTTGTATTCTGCACACGCTGCATCAGGAAGAGGACGGGAGGAGCCCAAGGAGCGAGCGGTACCTTCAGAAAGGCGGGGTCCCGCAGCAGAGGAGCCGTCTCACGGCAGCTTTTGAGAAAGCAGGATGGACTGCAAATGGCCAGATGGAAACACAGTTCTACTGCTGAACATCCCTGCACTGTATTTTATTCCATTCATGCCTTGTACTGCACACAGCCAGACCACAGCAATCCGAATCATGCGATGACTAGGCACTAGGAGGAAAAGGAGCTGTTTAGTTGTAGCAAACCTGCCATTGCACTACTGCTGCCTTGTGCATTAGAAGCAGCATCTTAGATTCAGTGAAGTGATTGTAAAGGGAATCATCTACCAAAATCCAAAACCAGTAAAGAGAATGTAATTTTTGCTTAATCAGTGCAACTCTCACACATCAGCCCCTGAATCTGGAGTTGTCGGAATAAAGTCAGAAATTAACAATGGGAGACATGCCCCCCCCACAAGAACTCTAGTATGGCTGTACCTAATAAGTGCCATACTAGGTAGAGCATCAAGCATGTGTTCACGCAAGGGCACGGACAGTGTTTGGCTTAGGTAAGAGTGTTAGGAATTGCTCTGCAGCCGGAGATACATGCTCCATTCAGGTCAGTTTCCAAGTTCTTTGCAAGCAAGAGGCCAGAGGCTGGGGTGCTGGGCACAGTCATCTGGCTGACTCTGTTTTGGCTTTCTTCCTACTGACCCACAGACAGTGTGACACCATCTGGGAAAAAAAGCTAAAGATAAACCACTGTCAAAAATAAGAGTAGTAAAACTATGGCTAACAGTAGTAGGAGGGGAGACAAAGTAGTAACAAATAATGGAACCACATTTCGTGTACGAGTGGAGTATAGGTTATGTCTGCGGGAAGTCTACATTCTCTTTACCGTCTCAGAGGATGCAGTATTCCTTTTCAGTAGCCCTGAAGCTGTGACAAGCATTAAATGTGCACAAAGCATTAAGTGCTGGGGACTGATGTGCCATGCGTGGTCTTCTTTTACAATGTATTTATTTAACATATTTATATTTATTTAAATTTTTGCAAGACGGTCTCAGATGTCAGTGGTATGGACACAGCTGCCAAAGCCTGTTTTTCTTAAGAAGAAAAATACTTCTTGTGTTTGTTTGTTGACTATATTTTAAAATAACTGGACAAGGAAAAGCTATACTGCATCTTTCAGTGGAACTATCTTGTCTGTTCCTGTTGGGTACATCGTAAGATCAGGGGAAACTTAATTTGTCTAGTTGTACCATTATGTCTTAAATGAGTAAATTATTGATGGTTACTTGTGACTAAACATACTGTAGCAATGCCCAGCCATACCTGGCTGGAGCCTACGTTACTGGGAGGTTCTTTCTGATTTTGCATTGTCTGAAAGTAGATCTCTGATATGATGCCAAATTGTGCAAGTTACACATTTCTAAAGCTTGAAAAAAGTAGTTTTACTTAAGAATTCAAAACCTATTTCACATTTTTGTACCTCTGTTGTACAGTTCTTTTATAATTCTACTCAATAACAATGACTTGTACTCAAATTCAAGTAGACCTAGAACTTGAGGTGTGTGTCCATTTCTGAGGGAAAATGGTGGGAGGCAGGTTGGACTCTGTGGCCTGTATAAGAATTACTTCCACTCTTGCTACAGGTTTGAACAGGTTCTCCCACTCCTGCAACAGCCTGAGCTGGATGACACAGGGTAGCCCAAAGGCCGATGTAGTGCAGACAACAACTTATGCACAAATGTATGGGGCAGTATTTTGGTGCCTCTCTTTCTGTGCCCTGACCTAAAGGGAGAGTGGAGTGTTCCCAGCATCTCTACTGAGTGCCACTGGCATAGGGTCAAAGAATTGGGCAGGGAGGCCAGAGATGCCAGCTGCTGCCACCATAGTATGGCGTTTGTGGGGGGTACCAGTCTGGTGCACCCCCTACATCAGCATTACAGGCTGATCCCCCCTTACCCTGGCCTACAGGAAGAAAACACAAGGACAAAAGAGAAGTGTGTTCAGCATTTCCTACCACTGCCCTGAAGAGAGTCGGGGTGGGCTGGGTAGTCAGAACAAATTGCAAAGCACCAGTCTTCTAGCTGGTCTTCAACCCCCATCTCCTTCAGAAACTCAGCTTCATCCCGTCTCCAGCTACTGTGCATGGCCATCACTTACACTAGTCTATCTTAGGCAAGTCCCACATTGCACACCCACCAATGTCATTTTTATTTGCTTTATACATTACTATGGCAGCTTCTTGAAATGTGACAAAGTTTGTGCCTCAGCCCTTGGCCTGACTACAGCGAGATTGGTAGGAGTGGATAACTCCATCTCTAAGACTCATGGGTTCCTGGGCTTTTCTAAACCTACCCAAAACAAGCAAAATTAAAGCGTTGCCCTTTCTTCTTATCCAGTTCCTTGTAGGCAGAGCCCTCCATTTCTCTGGTACAGATTAGGAGGCAAGGAGTGGAGTGTGGGCAATTCTCCATGCACATTCACTCCTAAATAAAAAAGAGGTAACCAACACATACCCAGCAGTGTTGAAGGGGCTTTCACACTGCACCCGAGCTCATCCTTCTGCAACATGCCATCCACCAGGAAGCAGTGGTGATGCACTGCAAGGGCAGAGACAAAGGTAAGGAACGGAACAGGAACACAAGATGCAGCATTTTCAAAACCTTGAACCACATGCAGGCAAGGTTCTTTGGGTAGATGTGATATCTTTCATTAGACCATCTAAATAGTTGGGAAAAAGTTCTTTCCAAGCTTTCTGGCACAAAGGGAGACACTGCTGGTGTTATGTGTTCTCCAAGGTAGAAAATAAGCTAATTTACAACAAGAAGTCTGTGAAAATGCAAATGAGTGGAAGTTTGGAAGACAATGAGTAGAGATGGGGGAGTGGGGGGGAGGGAAATGTGTGAATGAATGCAAGTGGTCAGGTGGAGGCAGAGTACCTGGGGTATCAGATATCAGGCAGGTTGTAATGTGTCATAAATCCAATGTCAATATTAAGTCCTTGATTTTTTTTGTATCCAGTAGATTATGGAGTGAAGTTCATAGGCCCGTCTATGCATATTGTAAGTTCCCTTTGAGGATTAGAACTGAGAGACTGGAGAGGGAGTGATTGTCCTGTGAGAAGTGGGCACCCACAGGTAACTGGCTATTTTTGTCTTCGATGGATTTCCAGTGCGCGTTCATTCTGGTGCACAGTTGTTGCTTGGTCTCTCCTACATATTTTCCATCAGGACATTTGGTGCACACTGGATGAAATATATGACATTTCTGGGAGGTGCAACTATAAGATCCAGGAATGCTGATGGCTCTCTTGTGGGGTGTAGCTGTTGTGGGACTGGTGGAGACGTGTTGGCAGGTTTTACATTTCTTGTCCTGGCATGGTCTGGATCCATTGGGTGTGGTTTGGGTCATAGGGAGTTTGCTACTGGTGATGAGGTTGGCAAGATTCAGAGCTGGTTTAAAGGTTAGGAGGGGTGGTTCTGGAAAGATCTCTTTAAGAATTGGGTCTTCCAGTATGCGTTGCAGTTGTTTGAGGATTCTCCATGTAGGTTCCAGGGAAGGATGGTATATCATAACTAATGGTGTGCGTTTCATGGGGATTTTCTTTCTGTACTGCAGCAATTCTTCACACGGTATTCGGGTGGCTCTTTCAAAGGTGCGATCTCTCTCTCTTGAGAAGTGTCCTTGTTGGTGAGAGCCCTTTTGAGATTTGTCAGGTGATGATCGCGGATGTTCTCCTCAGTGCAAATTTGGTGGTATTGGAGAGCTTGGCTGTAAACTACAGCTTTTTTGGTGCGTTTATAGGGCGATTGCTGGTTCTGTGCAGATATGTATGTTGGTCCATGGGTTTCTTGTATATGGTGGCTTGTATTTTACTGTTCTGGATATTGATCATGGTGTCTAAAATGTTGGTGCTGGAGTATTCAAGAGACAGTCTGATAGAGGGGTTGATGATTGTTGTGATGGAAATTCACATTCAGAGACTGCAGTGTTTCAGTCCAAATGATGTCATCTGTGCATCGCAAGTATAGCATGGGTTTGATGGTGCAGTTCTTGAGGAATTCTTCTTCTAGGTGGGACATAAAAAGGTTGGCATATTGTGGGGCCATTTTGGTGCCATAGATGTGCCCATGGTCTGGAGAAAGTGTTGGTTGTTGAAACTGAAGTTGTTGTGTGAGGAGGAAGTGTATAAAGTTCAGTAATACCTTGAGGTCAGTACCGTTGAGTTGTAATCTTGCTCTTGTAGATATGTGAGGCAGGCTTGGATGCCATCCTGGTGTGGGATCTTGGTATATATGCTGGTGATATCCCTGGCGGCTAGGAGGGTACTGCTGGGAAGGTGGTCTATGTTTTTGAGTTTTTGCAGAAAGTCTGTTGCGTCTTGGATAAAACTCAGTCTTTGGGTGACAAGAAGTTTTAGGATGGATTTGATCAAACCTGATATTTCTTCAGTTAGGGTTCCATAGTTGGAAATTATAGGTGTGCCGGGGTTCCCTTATTTGTGGACTTTAGGGAGCATGTAAAATGTCCTTGGATTGGGTAGTGGACGGATCAGTGTCTGAAGTTTTTCTTGTAGTTCAAAAGAAAATGATGTGATGATGGTTTTGAGGTGAAAAGGGGACTTGGATCTTCCTCTAGCTTTTCATAGAAGGTGGTGTCAGAGTTGTCTGTTGACTTCTTTTATGTAGACTTTACAGTTAAGGATAAACCTATAGCTGCTGGTTTTTTTACTATTTGGTGGTTGGATCTTAGAGATTCTACAGCCCTTCTCTCTGAGGGAGAGGTTGTTATAATGCTGTTTGTTGTTATTTCATTGTTCATTCTCTTTCTGACACTGTCAATATAGCAGTCGAGGTTTAAATTTCATCCTCTGTTAGGTGTCCAATCTGAGGGGTTTTTGGCATTTAAGTTGTCACAGGATGAAGTCATGTTGAAACTGGATTCATTTTGGTTGTGGAAATATTCCTTCAGACAGAGGTGTTGGAAAAATTGTTCTAGTTCTCTACATTGTAGTATCTTATTCGGGTATTTTTCTGGACAGAAATTAAGGCCTTTGGAGAGGACATATTTTTCAGCTTGGTAAGTGTGTGAGTGGAGAATATTTGAGGGCTGATTGATTCCTTCTGTTTCATTAAGTATGAGGTTGGAATGTTGTATGGTGTTGGTGTTGATTCTCTGATGGTTGTTTCATGGCTGGGAAAGTTGTTCTTGTAGTAATTGGTTCAATTTCTTCTTTTTGTGTTGGATAGATGTAACAAACCTTTGGTAGTCTTTCTGTTTGCACTGCATCATGTTTGGGAAGATAGCTGGAATTCTCAAGTTGTTGTAGCATGTGTTGACTTCCTTCTTGAGTTGATTTCTTTTGGAGTAGGTTAAGTTTCCCTGAACAGGATATTTTCACATGGCAAAAGCAATCCACACTGCTGCAAAGCAGGTGAGCCTGTTCCATGCTGCAGCATGCATGGGGTAAAAGGTTGGCTGAAACCCACTGTTTTTTCTCCTTGGCAAAATCCAATCCCCTTCCTCAGAAAGGCAACACAACTTAGTCTTACAGCCAGTTATACCTGGAGAAATCAATCCCCTGTGGACGGCTCAGTGTCAAGAAGAGTAACTGGCCAAAAACCCAGACAAACAGCTGCCTTCCCTTTTAATTGGCTCCTGGTACACAGGGCATTTTGACCGTCTGACCAGCCCAGTTCTTTCTCTCAGCACTTCATTGTCTGTGCCCAATGAGGACACTCAGCAAGGCTTCTGAACCTACCAACATGTTGCTAAAGGCAACAAATTTACCAACCCCCACCATTTGGCAAACGATAGTGCAAAAGGCACTGTACTGCGAATCCACTGATCATGCACTGAGCAGGTTTTTATTTTTTTTTAAAACAAGTGTATGTAGCACCTTCCCCTGCCCTCCCCCAACATACATAATTTATAAGGGTCCTGTATCCTAGTTAGAGCCTTCTAGCACAGATGACCCAAGCAAGAGGTACTACACTGGGAGGGGGCACAGCTGAGACATTCCCACCAGCTGCAGCACAGACCTGACTCCATGCAGCACAAGCTACACTGAGCGGAGTCAAAACTAAAATGAGGTCAGAGCGGACAGAAAAGAGTCTGTGCAGCTCTCAGGGTTAATGCATTTACCAGTGAGCTCACTGAAGCAGGCACAGCCAGGGGAAGCAGGGGAGTGGCTGGTGAAGCAGGGGCTGAGAAATGAAACTGAAAGAGGCTGGTTCCTTTGCTGTTACCATCTTCCTTCCCCCACCCCTTTGTTGTCAACAGCCAGCTACAGCCAGGAACTGCTGTTTCTGCTGGCCTCAGAAAAGCAGGGTTGGCCTCATGAAAAGCATAGCGACCCATCTATGAACGAGTGTGAGACAAACTCAGCAGATGGAGGGTGCGAGACAAGCTCAGGCTAGCTGGCGCTGTGGCTAGGAATTGCCGTGGGGGGTTTTCCTACTGCTATGCGTTAGGAGGCATAGAGCATCTAACCCCACAGGGAGAACTGGATTCTGGTCCCTGAGATGCAGGTGGCAGCCCCTGCCACCATCCCCT